ACCCACCTCTACTGACCGACCACTCGGCCGATGGTGACACTACAAACATACTGACCTTAACTTTGTAGGAATACCATCTTCAGTCCATTCTTAAGGAAGCAGGCACCAGCAATGACCAAGAAATTCCGGTCCCGCCTCCTCAGGAGAGCCAGATCAACTATGATCAACTCTATCCTAGTCACTTCCAGCAACCTACCTCGTACATCCGCTTCTCACAGACCGTTGAAGAATGCATAGGAGTTTCCTATGACATGACAACCGAGGACGATGAGTTCTTGAAGCAGTACAATTCTACCAAGAAGACCGTTGCCTCTCAGCTGTCCGAAGATGACTTCGAGCGCATCATGGAGGTCTTCGAGGAGATGGCCTCAGAACAGACGCCATTCGCCTCGATAGACAACACCGTCGTCAGCTATGAGACAATGCTTCCTCAAATCAGCCAGCTCGGCACTCAGAAGCTAATGGCGCATTCCAAGCACGTGTATGAGCACTGGAAGTCGCGAAGGCAGGCCACCGGCAACAAGCCCCTGCACCCGTCCGTCAAGTTCGAGACGCACCAGGAAAGTGACGAGGCCGATCCTTATGTCTGCTTCAGACGTCGTGAGGCCAGACAAACGCGAAAGACGAGGCAGAGGGATGTGCAGAGTGCCGAGAAACTCAAGCGACTCCGCAAAGAGCTCGAGGATGGACGTCAACTCATCATCCACTCATATGAGCGTGAGATGCTGAAACGTGAGGTCCTTAACCTGGATCGAATAATTTTCGAGCAACGAGCCAGGCTCAAGGAGATGAAGGTCAAGCTCGGCATCAAAACCGAGGACGACGATCTCATCAACCAAAAGGTATGTCGAGCGCTCATGTCGAAGAATCGCATCGAGGTGGATGCTAATTGCATGCAGCCTCAGAAGAAGAAGCCAGTGGAAGCTCCTGCGTTGCAGAGACCTCCAGGCAACCATCTGCGCATCGCTGTGCGGCCGGACGGTCGTTCCATGGAAGCAGACCTTGTGCAACTTTCAGACAAGCTCGCAGAGAAGGAGAACGAGCTGCGGGCGGATGTTGAGAGCAAGGTTCACAACCATAGGAAGTGGAACCAGAACCATGTGGATCTCACCCGAGATCCTTTATCTCCGGTCAAGGAACAGGGCATGGAAATCAACTTCCGGCCCGCCAAGACCCAGTATTTGATGACACCTCCGGCGTCCACCTCATCCGAGTCAGACGCCATGGATATCGACGAAGAAGAGCCTGTGGTTGAAAGGGGCAATATGTCGATATTCCAGTTTACTGCTGGCGGCAAGGAGAAGCCTCCAAACAGCCAACCAGCATTCCGCCGTCGCATAGGACGGTTGAACCGGTTGTGGATAGACCGCCGGGGACTGACGACGCCTCCGCGGATGGATGGCGAGGATTATTCGGATCGGTGGAAGTATGACCAGGATGACGAGGAAGAGACGCCGGTGTACGAAGTCGACCCCTACGACACAAGGGCGCTGAAGTTCCGCGCGACCATCCCGTTATCGCAATATGTGTATCCGAGGCGGCAAATACCACAAGAGGGTATGCCTAACGTAGTGCCTACGCAAGTTGCTGGGGTCTCTGGCAGCCGACCGGCACTACCTCCACCGCCGCAGCCACACACGTCGCAACATGCGCAACAGTCGCAACCGCAGCAGCAACAGCAGCAGCAACCACAGGCGCCTCAGGCACCACCGGCGGCTCAAGCTCAAGCAGCGGCCTCATGAGGGCTGCCCGTGGCTTGAGTGCGCCCTTTCTCTCCTCATCATCCCCGGATGACGTGTTGTATACCCCTCGGTGTTTGGTTGCTCCTTTTTGGTATGTAAGATGGTTTGGCGGCAGGCAGGACGGTCGGATCGGCGTGGCGTTTTTGGGTTGTGGTGCCTCTCATGTAAAGTGTATGACTGTAAAGGAAGCAGGCGGTGGAGGCTCTTCAGCAGACGGGTGGTCTGCCCCAAGAGACGAGACATTAGGAGAGGAACATAGATTCCACACCCCAAACAATAGAAGATCAAGAAATGACCTTCAACTTGCATCTTCTCGTGCCATATATTTGCTTGTGTATCCACCGTCGGAGAGCCTGAGCATGTGGAGGCTGGCGGTTTCGGGAGGAGACTGTTTCGTTGATGCTAGCTTACGCAGCTGGCGACGGTGCGACGTTGCTCAGGGCTGGATCCTGTGATCTGAAGGATGTTGCTTTTCTTTGTGTAGGGCGCAACGGGTCATGCTCATCGTTTGCTGCAGCTAGCTGTGCTCTAGAGAGTGTCAATCTTTTGTGGTGGTGAACGGAGGACCGGTGGTGATGTGACTCGGAGAGCTTGCGACAATCGTCATACCCAGTGGGCGCCTTCTTTGGTGATAGCCACCACGGCGAATTTGGGCAGCCCTCGACATGATAGTTCGGTTCAGGAGCTTCAAGGCAAGCACCTCATGTACATATCTGTAGAGAGAAAAGAAGCTGAGAGTATTTTTGGGGCCTGGTGGTTGTCCGGCGTCAGCAGACTGGCTTTGTCACGCCCCGATTCGGCAGAGTAGTGTCCGCAGATCCCTCGGCGATCACAAGATGCGGAAGCCAGGGAGCTGGTACAGGACTCTGAGGGAAAATTAAAAATTTGAAAACCCAGGCTGGGGAGAATCCAGAGGAAAAGTCGCAGCATTGCCAAAAGAGGGGAAAGAGGGTTTTCTCAGCAACCCGGGGAGAGGAGCATGGGAAACCAAAGAAAGAATTGTGTAGTGAGAGAGAAGAGGAGTTCCACTTGTCGAGGCTTGCCTGCTGGTGGGTGTGGGGATATTGCGTTGGAACCTTACCTTAGCAACTTGTGTGAGGAATAAACGACCAGCCCGCCCGCCCGCCCGCGCGCCTGTTGCTACCACACCTCGTTGTAGGTACGGATACGCTGCCCAGGGTTTCGCCTTTGGAGGAAGGAGGAATAGACAGGAGAAGTGTGAGATAAGAGCTAACGTGGAAAAAGAGCACGGGACCTTTGGAGGGCCGACCACACCGTCCGTCCCATCTTCCTGTCTCTGCTCTGCCCATGTAGGTATTTTCCCGCTGCTTCCTCTGTGCGCCATGTATTGTGTGTCGGATCTTTTGTGATCCTTTCTTGTCCGCGAGACGGCGTTTGCCGCGCCATCTCTACAGTGTATTTACGGCGGCACTGCGTAAGCAGCCTCAGGTACGACACCCGCCCACTGTACCGCTGTACCCTTAACAAGGTCGGTTAGGTGGACGGAACGGACTGGTCTCGCGACCGCCCAGGGTGTCACGGGCGCAGGGCGAGCAAAGGGTCCGGTGCGGTGGGAGAGACGGTTGTGGCAGCGCTTGTGGCAGGGAAGATGGGACCCACACTTTCCACATTTCTCGAGGGACATCCCACCAGAGCGTTACCCCTCCTACGTCAACTTTTTTTGACGTCTCGGCCATTGGTCCCTTTTGCGACGAGGAGCGAAAAAAAGACGAAGACGAGTCACAATCGCGATACTTGCGAGAGTGGGACCTGCGCATCACAAAGCAATTCCTCTTAAGACGTTTGAGCAAACCGGGAAGCTCATCGGTGCCGGCAGAAGCGTGGATAGACGAGCAGAGACCAGAACGAAGCCATCGCGTCCCCCAAACCCCTCCTCCCCATGACCGAAAACCGACCGCCAAAGAGGACCCACGATCTCGATCTCGACCAAGACCCATCACCACCCCTTCCCGAAACGGCTCCCTCCCCTGCGAAGCACACGACCGCGACAATGTCCAAGAAGAAAGGCCTCATCGCTCTCGGCTGCGAGGGCTCAGCCAACAAGCTCGGCATCGGCGTGATGCTCCACAACGGCGCCGAGTCGACCATCCTCTCCAACATCAGACACACCTTCGTCTCCCCGCCGGGCCAGGGCTTCCTCCCCAAAGACACCGCAAAGCACCACCGCTCCTTCTTCGTCCAGCTCGCGCGCCGCGCCCTCCGCGAGGCCGGCGTCTCCGTCGCCGACGTCGACTGCGTATGCTTCACAAAGGGTCCCGGCATGGGCGCCCCGCTGACGAGCGTCGCCGTCGCGGCGCGTACGCTGTCCCTGCTGTGGGACAAGCCCCTGGTCGGCGTGAACCACTGCGTAGGACACATCGAGATGGGGCGCACAATCACCGGCGCGCAGAACCCCGTCGTGCTGTACGTGAGCGGCGGAAACAGCCAAGTCATCGCGTACGCGGAGCAGCGGTACCGAATCTTTGGGGAGACACTGGACATCGCAGTGGGAAACTGTCTGGACCGGTTCGCGCGGACGCTGGAAATCAGCAACGATCCCGCGCCGGGATACAACATTGAGCAGCTGGCCAAGAAGGGCACGCGGCTGTTGGAGCTACCGTATGCCGTCAAGGGGATGGACTGTTCGTTTTCCGGCATCCTTGCCAGCGCGGACATCTTGGCGGCACAGATGAAGGCGAGCCAGGCCAAGGGGAAGGAGACGTTTACGCCAGCAGATTTGTGTTTTTCTCTGCAGGAAACGGTCTTTGCCATGTTGGTTGAGATTACTGAACGTGCCATGGCGCATGTCGGCAGCAACCAGGTTCTGATCGTTGGTGGCGTCGGCTGCAACGAAAGACTGCAGGAGATGATGGGCGAGATGGCCAAGGAGAGAGGAGGGAGCGTCTACGCGACGGATGAGAGGTTCTGCATTGACAACGGGATCATGATTGCACACGCTGGTCTGCTGGCTTACGAGACAGGCTTTAGAACACCGCTGGAGGACAGCTCGTGCACGCAGCGGTTTAGAACAGACGAGGTCCACGTCAAATGGAGAGACTGATGCCAATGTGCTCGGTTAATACGGCGTTTGAGGTCGTCACATTTCTATCGTTTCCATGCCTGCGTGATCTTCCTAGTCAGCCAGCTTTGGCTGGATGGTAACAATTCTCGTCACCGCAGCTTGCCCCAGGTCGCCCCTGTTATCACTGCCTAAGATCCCAAGAAACAGACTGGCTCGACCTCAGTCTAAAGAGCCACCTATTCGTCTGTTGTTGTGGGTTTGTAAATGATTGTCGTTACGTACTGTGCATGAAGTTAGTTTTTGAGCAATCCATCATTAGGAACTGCTGCTTACCTTGTTCTTGTAACGAGTCGTTGCTGAGACTGCCAAGATGTTGTTCTTGATGCTGCTCGTGGCCAGATGGTTCAGGACAGTGTGGTTGGGCATGTTGAGCACGCTGTTGTCGTCCTTCATGAGGACCGCGGCGTTCAATATAGGCTTGCCCAGGAAACCCGGAAGACTGGGGGGCGTTGGCAGCTTCTCAATTGCTGTCACAGCATACTGGTAGGCTGGCGAATCTTCAGGTTGGTCAAAGTCGACCAGGTACTTGGGTATTTGGTGGAAGTATTGACTTGGCGACGGCACCTCCTTGCCCTTGGGGGGTTTCGGCTGTTCTTCGCCCTGCGCTGCCTCGCCCTTGGGTGCGCTCTGGTCGCTGGCCACTGTACCGGGCGCGGGGACGGGTCCCGGCACCACGGGAGCCTTGGCGGGGAGGTCGTCGGCGCTGACTTCAATGAAGTTGACCAGGTTGTTTCCAAAGTCCACAGTAGTCGGCAAGTCGGGCGAGGTCTGCATGATTCCGTCCACCAAGAACCTAACATGGTGTGTACCCGGAAGAATGTGTATCGTGCCCGCGAATACGCCAGGTTGGCCGTCCCTATTAGACAGAGCTGGGTCAGTAACATGCTTTCTGATAATATGTCCTGCGCGCGAGGCTGGCTACGAAGAAGGCAACTCTAGTGGCGGATTCTGACACCACTGAGGAGCCACGAGTGTAACGCACACATGGCTGAGACTCAGACACGCAGAAGTAGGACTTACACGGGATGTAATCTTTGTTTCCGGTTCCACTGGAAGATTGTTCCCGTAACATAGATCTTTCCTCCTCCTCTGCGCCATTCAAGGCGGGTCGGCACAGTGGGCCTTGTCTTGTCAACAATCAACTCCTCGCCATCCTCCTCATCGACAGTGGTCGTGCTCAGCGCCGACGACTTCCTCGTCATGCCATCCGAATCGAGGGCTTCCACCTCCGTCACGGAGGCCTCGCCATTGTCCGCAGGTGCGATGATGGGCGAGCCGGGAGTGTGTATTTCCTCCTCGATAGGCAGAGGCAGACGAGGAGGGCGGGTTATGTACGACATGTCATTGACACTGTTGTTGGAGACCAAAGCTGGTTCAATCATGTGGGCGGAGTAATGCGACCTCAGGGAGGAGGATTCGGTCGGTGCGCTTGGGACGTCTACGGGCTTGCTGGGCTCATCGCGGATGATGTGCTTGCTTTCCGGTGGCTTCGGCTGGGGAACGGAAGTACTCGAGTTCGAGGATGGAGAGCCGGTGGTGAAGCTGGAGATGGGAATGGACTGGAGGGGCTTGTTGGCCTTGGTGACCGTGGAGCCCTGGGCTTGAGTAAGGGAGGGCTCAGGCGGAGCAGCGACTCGCTCGGCGGAGCGCGGGGGGATGATGTGTTTGGACTCCCGCTTGTGGTGATGGTGCTTGGGTGAGTCCTGCGACGCTGGGGCGGATGAGACAGGCGTGGCAGGCTTGGAGGACGAGGAGGGGTTGTTGCCCATTTTGTCGTTGGCTTTGCTTCTTCCAGATTTGTTCCTCGGGTGGGACACGACAGACTGATGGTCTGGGGTGTGGTTCGGGGTACCCTACCTGGCCAGGCCGACGGGAGTCTGGATCTGCCAGTATTCAGGTAAGCGGGCGTGTGACGTCCGGCGGAAACGGCACCTGGGATGCGGTGCAATCGCGGGATTGCGGGCGGATTGGGCTTCGGGGGGGGGGGGGGGGGGGGGGGGGGGGGGGGGGNGGGGGGGGGGGGGGGGGGGGGGGGGGGGGGGGGGGGGGGGGGGGGGCGGTGCGGTGCGGTGCAAAGGGCGCGCAAGGCCAGCGCAGTCCAAGTGCTGGACAGCGATTCGGCGGATGGGCGGTTGAGAGATGGTGAGGAAGGTCGCAGTGGGAAAGGTGCTGTCCCAATCTCGCACTTCCACGTTGGGCAAGTTGCTGCGACTGGCGTTCGTGCGATCCTGGTTAGGTAAGGCGCGATTGCAGAAAGATAACTAATCGCGGGGTTGTGAGCTGATTATCGCATTCTCGAAGGGGAGAAGACGACGAAGCGACAGGATCGACGGTGGGCAGAGGGCGGCAATCTGTGGTCGCGGTTGTGTCGTGAGAGAGGGAGGTCGCGTACCGATCGCTGGTGGATGTAGTGACGAAAGGCGAAAATGGCCGGCTGGTTATTTTTTTGGTCCAGAGATTGGATGAGAAGTCAAATCAACAACAAGCGAGTTGGAGGGGGTGGTGTGGTGGTGGTCAATTGCCCAAGTTCCCACGCAGGTGCTAATCTTCCAACAAGTTTTGGGGGAGGAGGGGGCCGTAGACTCCACGGAGGGCAGTGGCACTGCCAGATAATAAGCTCTACAGGGCCGGTACTCGTAATCGCATACTGGAGAAGGTGAGGACTTGAGTACTCATGGGCATCCGCTTACCCGATACTCGACATGGCCCTTGCGCGCACCTTAAGCTGGGGGCGCCCCTGGGCACTGGAGTTGGCGGGGACTACCTCACTCCAACGGAAGGCTTGCTTGACAACTTGAGAGAGTGAACTTCATCTCAGGTCACCTCTGCTCGCGTGTGCACCAGCCGTCGCTCTATCAACCGCCAACTCAAGCAGCGTAGCGGGCAAGCCAAGGAATGTGCTACCGTTCCATCTCATTTCAGCCAGCCATCGCATCTGAACATCACGACGCTCCTTCACCCCAGATTCCTGTCTTCCCCCCCTTTGGACCATCCTCTTCGCTACAATTGCAGCTATTATCCTGAATTAAGTGGATCAATCGCCATGCTCTGAGAAGCACAGCACTGTTCTTAGACGCATACGCGACTCTTCATCACTGACAACCAAACAACATATTCACGGTTTCATCGTCTTCATAGCAGCATGGCCTTGGTATCGTACACGTCCGGCGTCGTCGCCGTAGCTACTTTCCCCTTGCGTCTAGCATGGAAACCCGTGGCTTTGTTCATCAATTCGGTGCTCATGCTGCTCTCACCCCTAATATTGATGGGGTACTTCGTCGTTGGATGGTGTCAAGCTGTCATCGACTTCATAGCCAGTCTTCAGGTAAGCTGATCTCCCTTGAAAGCCCTTGCTTTATCCTGATACTCTGCTAACACTGCAATCCGGCCAGCCTCTCTATACATTTGTTGGTGTTTCCAATCACTTGGTATCAAATCTTCGCGTGCTAATCCAACGCAGCTGGCCTGCGGTGCCTTCATTGGCATACTTGCTGGCTTGACCATGTCCTGCACGTCCAGCATCATCACTACAGTCCTTGGCATGCATGATAGAGGCTACCAAGGTCCACCAGCAACACCTGCGCCCTCGACGCCATCATCAGAACGACCAGGGACCGGTAAAACCGAAGATTCGTCGTCTTACGAGACCGATTGGCAGCTGCTCAACAAGCCACCTCCTAAGCGCCGCAGGAATAGGCCAGGTCTTTGGTCTCAAACCATTCACGAGGAGGACGACGACGATTCTGAAATTTGATAGCAATCCGGGCTTTCCTTGATATACCCTGCAGCGTACTGATGCAATCATGAAGATAACTGAGAAACTTTAATGCCAGCCTTGTTCGGGAGTGTGCCTCCCCCTCAAACGCCTGTTCCTGTCCGCTCGATTCGCCTTTTACATTATCTTGTTGTACATCCAGGTGCTCGTGCCAACGGAGAAAAGACTCATACCTGACGCCGGATGTACCTAGACCAAGTTCATCGTCACCTCCAGCGCCTCCCGCTGGCTGATGAAATGATTACATTGCCCCCAGGTTCCGCGAATTACCTATTTCGAGCACTGTACTCAGAATGGTGAGCTGTTACTCGGTCTTCACGAGTCCCGTTTTCCCTATCTGCGGTACCCCTCTCGTTCACGATCACGTTCTCTCATTGGAGATCGACTGCGACTCCTAGTCCGGCGATCCCAGTCTCGATCATGCCATCGCTCATCCCTACTGTTGCGTCGGCGTTCTCGCGGGGGCCGATCATCCCTGTGTCGTGGGCCGTCGTCCCTCCCATAGCTTGGGATGTAGGTGTCAACATCTGGTCCTGGCCGTGGCCCTCCACGGCTTCTGGGTCGTCGGTCTCTATCTCTGTCCCGGTAGCCGTCTCGCTCCATTGGGCCGCCGTTGGCATATTCTGGCGGCGGAGGCCTAGGCGGCAGCCCTCGTTCCCCACGCTCGCGCTGCCAAGCTGGTCTTCGTTCCTCGCCGTTTCGGTGCAGTCCAGGAGCATTTGAATGGCGATTTCCGTTAACACCGTTGCGATTTGAGTAATTCTCGGTGTTATTGAAGCCGGCATTGGCACCGTGTGCATCGGGACCAATGCCTACCGTCCCGCCCTTGGGTGCTGGAGGTAAAGCTGCTTTGCGGTCGTGGAACTTGCGCCTGTCCAACTCGTGGCTGTCTTCAAAGGTTGGGAGATCATCAGGATTCGCCGGCATGGGGGCCATCTTAAAGTAAGGGTGGTTCAGGGCGTCGGCGGCGTTGATGCGAGATCGCCAGTCGAGTCTGAGGAGTTCCTTTAGGAGAGAGATAGCCCCTGAGCCGTATTCTCTGAATCTTGTGGATAAACTGCCAGGTCTCGTACGTGGGGAAACGGCCTCGGCGCCAGGAAGTGTGTTGAATAGAGGCATGTTCTCTGGCGTGGGTGATCCCATCAAGTCCCAGATAATGTCTAGCTGGTGAGAGTCACTCTCACCCGCCAAAATCGGTTTCCCAACCAGCATTTCGCCAAAAACGCAACTAACCACGGGTTAATAGTCTGAAGAGTGAAATTGTAGGTCTCAGATCTTACCCGACTCCCCAGACGTCAATAGCAGTTGTGTACTTCTTCAGGTGAAGCAACAGCTCAGGGGGTCTGTACCATCTAGTGACGACGAGGCCAGTGTATTCCCTCTTGCCCTCCCCAGCACCGTGTCCTAACCTAGGTGTGGGTCCCTCGTAGTGTCGAGCCAGACCAAAATCTGCAATCTGGAGGATGCCCTTATTGTTGATGAGAAGGTTGGCGGCTTTCATGTCGCGGTGTAGGATGTGGTTGTCGTGCAGGTATCGGAGGCCCTCCAGAAGTTGTAACATGTAGCACTTGATCTGAGGCTCGGTGAAGGTGACCGAAGGGTTGTCAAGAAGACCAGAAAGATCGTGGTCCATGTAGGGCGTGGCCATGTACATAATTGGCCTCTTGCGCTTGTCGCCTGTAACAATCCGCGTCAGGAATTGTTGGTTCGGAGACGAGTGACTCAGCAGCGACTTACTGGCTCTCTGGGGATGCTCGACGGCCATGTCCACTAGCTGCAGGACGTTCTTATGGGATAACAGCTTGAGAAGCTTAATCTCGCGCAGCGCCGTGATGGGGAACTATCAATCGTCAGATGACTTCGCGGCGAACTTGGCATCCAAAAGTTGCATACCCCATCTTTCTCATGGTGCATAATGATCTTCTTGAGGGCAACATGGGCTCCCGTCTTCTTGGATTTCGCGCGATGCACCTCACTGTCGAGCTAGGATTAGCACGGAAAGCGCGCCGTCGCAGGGCGAACTTACCCAAAGGTACCCTCACCCAGCTTGCCAAGGAGATCGTAATCTGTGATTCGCGAGCATCCTACAAAGCTTGTCCTGGGGCGCTGGTGTTGCATCGCAAAAGTGCGAGGCGAGTCGCTGGCGTTGGGCGCGCTGGACTCCATGATGGCTGCGTTGCGCGGCAAGAAGCGGCGATCGCGACAAAAGATTGACGTGCCAGTTCTTCAGGTCGTATGTGCGAGATGGTTATGAGCGGAAGGTACCGATGGGTGGCAAGCGCATTGCTAGGTTCGAAATCGAACGCAAAGGCTATATCGCAGCGGGCATCGGTGAAGATTGTGACGGGCGTTCTTCGACGGAGGGAAATGTCGTGGTCGCTGTCTCAGCCTGCCAACTTGCTTGAGGATGGAATATGGATTGGTGTCGGGCGGTGGACATGGCAGAATGCACGTCCCAAGATGGCGCGGGAGTTCCACGTTGGTCTGGAGGCTCCGTGAGGGGTACGTATCTTTTCTTGCAAGGGCCGGTACGCTCATCTTTATTTTTGTTCCGAGCTTCTGCGTCATCGTCCGATGCTAGGTTCCAGTTTCTGCAAGTTGCAGTCAGTCTCATTTCAGTCGATTCCAATTCGCCATCCATCGGCAGGCTTGATGCACTTTTTCCAGCCCGCGAAAGACTTGGCATGGGAACAGCATGTAATCGATAAGGATTCAATGCCTCCTTCTGCCATTTCAACCACCTCAGCACCCGCAGCGCCCGTCAACGTGTCTAGACCAGCCATGCCAGGCTTCGTTCGAGGTCACGCAGCTGGCGAGGTCGTTCTGTTACTTAATTATTACCCCATCGCTGACCCTGCCCGCCATCCGCTATCGGGGTCCAGTCCCATCGTCTCTTCCCCGCGGTACACAACTCGCATCCTGAGTTGTCGTATCAAAAAACTCAACTTTTTGCCTTATCTGCCGCGATAAGGTGTCTCTTCAGAGAACGAGGGGCAACCTCGATATTTGCCCACATTCCCTTGTCCTGCCTTATCAGAGAGTGTCTTTCTTTGTCAAGCACCACCACGCACTGATCTCGTGTCAGCTCGAGTTACTTTAGATCCGGCCAGGAATTGCCAGACGCCATACGCATACACCACATGCTCTTCCATGTACCATTCCCTACTTGCCCATCCCGCAAATGACTTGTTTGACTCGCCATCCGGCTCCACTCCCATGCTTTCACCATCGCTAACCGCTCATCATGGTTCTCTCCGTTAGACAAAATTTACAAAATTTTGCACAACCCCATGACTTGACCCAGTCGTTGCCATATTGCTCTCCATACAAAAGCTTCTGCCCCTCCATACTTACCCCGTGCCCCTCAACTTATCTGTGGAGGCGCCAGCAACTGATAAACTCCCAACTTCAACTCTTTCTTTGTACTGTCGTTTTCTTATCCGACGAAGCCTCTCATTGTCTAGCAACAAAATACTTGCAAACATGGCATCCCAAACCCCCGCCGAGAGGCTCCTCCCAGAGTCCAACTACCCGGAGTCCCGAGTCCTGGTTATCATGACAGGCGGCACCATCTGCATGCAACCCACCGCCGACGGTCTCAAGCCCATCGGAGGGTTCTTGAAGAATGCCATGGCCCCGCGCCCTTCATTCAACGACAGATCGTCGCCTTCAGGTAGGTCATTTCTCGAGGGCACACCAAGGACGCCGTAGGCGAACGAAAGCACGGGATGGAATCATGTTGGCCACCGCTATTGTCTCGGGTGCAATGACGAGAAAACAAAACGTGCAACCCTTTTGTGCATTCTTCATGTCAACTCTTCGCGCGAGTCGAGCGCTCTTCTCTGCTACTGCATCACGTCATACATAATACTTTTACCGCGCCTTACTAACGATAAGTAGTGCAACTCGAGGCTTACAAGAACGGCCAAAAGGTTGTTCTGGACAGCTTGAGGACACCACCAAGCGCCTACTCCCGTCACATTCGTTATGGCGTCCTGGAATTTTCGCCTTTGCTGGACTCGAGCTCCATCTCAGCCGAAGGCTGGACGGAAATCGCTCAGACCATCAGAGAGAACTACCGTCTCTACGATGGCTTCGTGGTGCTCCACGGCACCGACTCTTTGTCGTACACGGCTTCGGCCCTTTCTTTCATGCTTTCTGACCTAGGCAAGCCGGTTATTCTCACCGGTTCCCAGGCCTCCATCTTCGCACTCCAGTCTGACGCCGTCGACAACCTCCTGGGCTCGCTCATCATCGCAGGAACCTTTGTCATTCCCGAGGTTGGCCTGTTCTTCCACCACAAGCTGTTCCGTGGCAACAGAACAAGCAAGGTTTCTTCTGCTGCCTTCGAGGCTTTCGCCAGCCCCAACTGCGAGCCTCTGGCCAAGGTCAATGGCCTCGGTATTGATGTGAATTGGCCCATCGTGTTGAGACCTACCAGAATTGCCGAGCTCCAGGTCACCCAACACCTCGACACCGCCCACGTTGCCTGTCTGCGTGTGTTCCCTGGTATTAGGCCCGAAATGCTCGACTCGGTTCTCCGCGTCCCTGACCTGCGCGGTCTCATTCTCGAAACATTCGGCATGGGCAACGCTCCCAGCGGTATCGATGGCAGCTTGACAAAGGTCATCAAGAACGCCGTGGACCGCGGCGTCATCGTGGTCAACGTCAGTCAGTGCATGAGCGGCTTCGTGTCGCCCGTCTACGGCCCCGGCACCGAACTTGGCCGTGCCGGAGTCATCTTCGGCCTGGACCTCACCGCCGAGGCCGCCCTGACGAAGCTGTCCTACCTGCTCGCTGTATCCGGCCTGTCAACGGCCGAGGTCAGCGCACGCATGTCCCACTCGCTCCGCGGCGAAATGACAGAAATGGCACTTCCGGTATTTTCGCACCCTTCCGGATCGCTCGACTCGGTCGTGTCGCGACTAACCGCGACAGAATCGGCATTTACTGTCCTCGGCTACGCCGTACGGAACGGGGATCTGAAGACGGTCAAGGAGATCCTGGACAACGACGCCCAGCGCGAGCTCCTGAAGATGGCCGACTACGCCGGCAACACGGCGGTGCATCTCGCGGCCGTAGGGCCCCAGATCAGCATCCTGCGTGAGCTTCTTACCAGAGGCGCCAGCGTGCACGCACGCAACCGCGCGAACAACACGCCGCTGTACCTCGCGGAGAAGACGGGCAACGAGGAATGTGTCAGGCTGCTGAAGGAGACGGGCGCTCACTTGTGGCAGGACGAGGCTACTATTTTGGATTCGGTTCAAGCATCACAATCTGCATCTGGGGACGGAGTTCAAAAGTAGGATCATGAAAAGTGTGCTTTTGTGTGTTTGCAGGCGTTGTTTAGTTTGGAGTTTCATTAGATGGCATTTCTCGGCGATGATGAGAAATAAACCAATATGAAAATTGTCTGAAGATTAGGAGTTGTCAGAAGACGTAACCTTTCTTGAAGAAGGCATGCATTCCATCCGAACAAAGAAGACCTGACAGTGTGAACCGCCATCGCCGCCGTCACCGGATTCCGTGGCGGGCTGCGGGCTGTATCGGCCCCACTTAGGCCGGCGCCGCGCTCGAATTTTTGGGAAATTTCACTTCTGTACCCTCCATCGACAGCTTTTGCCGCTCGTCATTGGCTTGCTATCCCCGCGCAATCTACGTTTCGAAGCCCGAAGCGTCCTTTCCTTGACCGTCGAGTCTCGAGAACACCAACTTGCGACCGTCCACACTTCGAACGCTTTACGGTTCCGAGCAACGTGCAACCCACCACTTCCCTCCACTCGAACCACACAACCCCCATAGCGAAAATGGCAGACCAGACAACACCCAGGCTCGAGGGGTCGCCCGAGCTTCATGGCACCCCTCCCCTAGTCCACAACTTCTGCATCGCCGCAGCTGTCCTCTCGCCGGTCATGATGATCCTGCCCCCGCGGCGCATGGACTGGCGCTTCTTCATGCACTCGAGCATCTTCTCCGCCTCGACGAACCAGCTCATGTACGACTGGACGGGCCAGTCAATCTACCAGCGTGTCGGCGCCCGCTTTGAGGCCATGTTCCCGACGACGCTTCCCGACCAAGCACAAAGGACAAGGCAAGCTCTGCGCGAGGAGCGCATGCGTCGCGAGGGCCTCACGGAGGAGCAAATGCGTGCCATCGAGTACAAGAAGCGCTCCTTCGCGGAGAGGATATGGTACGGCAAGGAGCCCGAGGACTGGGACAAGAAGCGTGGGGAGGAGCACGCCAAGGCGTTGGCTGAGGGAAAGGGATTGGGAGACCTGATTGTGGATCAGGTCAAGGAGGTCTGGGACGGCGAGAAGGAAAAAAAGACCGAGGCGGATAACAATGAAAAGAAGGCATGAGCACACCACGAGAATGAAAAAAAAAAAATTTGGTGTAGGATTAAAATTTTGCGGATTGGGAGCTGCCGCCTGTTGTGGCCATCAGAACGTCTGCGTCTTTCAAGCAGCGTTCTGGCTGAGTGGGAGCACTCTTGGCCCGTTGAATATCTCCCCTTAAGTACTGTACATTACTGTCTAATAGAGTAACGCAACGCCGGCCAACACAGAGGATTTGGCTTGCCTCGACTTCCCATTCCAATAACACCACGGACATATGCTTCTGATCGCTTTGAACTTTTGATTCCATTCCGCCCGTATTATTCGCTAGACGCCATCACGCATGCGCGCTGTAAACCTCCTCCTCCACTCGTAACATCCAGTAAATCCTCGCCATTATTCATACCCCTTTTTCCCACCCTCCGCTGATTGGGAGTTCGTCCAGCCTCAAAGAGGCTAATTTGTCTCCGAGGCAGCTTCCTGCCTGCGTCTCAGGGCACCTTTTTGTTTCTGCTTCTTTATCTGCTTCTGCTTTACATCGTCGCTTCGTCCTCCTTGGTGCTTACCCTTGCCTTTTCCCTTTACCCTGCTCTGTTGCCTTGCAAGCTTCTTGGACTTGCGAGCGTCGACCTTTTCGTCGAATAGCTTGATCCAGGCTGCCAGCAAGGTCTCCACCTCGTCCTGGCGCTCATCCGAGTCGGGAGGAATACCGAGCTCCTTTCTGATCGAGATACGATGTCTGTCGATCTGCATCAGACGACGTCTCGCAGCCCGGTTGAGACCATCGCCGTTCACCGTGCTAGGTGCAATGGTGCTCGGCGCCACCGATGT